ATCTTTGCACAACCATCGCCGGATTGAGGTCCTCACCTCTCGTGGCCTAAGATGGTGCACGTCTCCTACCACCGGAACTGTAAGCCTTCTCATTTTCCCGTCTACCCTCATCGTAATCTTTATGTGTTAACTATTGTTGCATTCAAGTGTGGGGTAAATGTATAGTTGCGACGAGAGCTTAAATCGTGTGATCGTTTGTGTAACACCCCGGCCCCATAGGACCCGAGCTAGTTACTCCAGACCTCCAGTACTGTCCTCACAAACCTCCACGAGCCTTTAAGACGCACTTTGTCCTCACTCGTGCGTGCCCTCAGAAACTTCTCAGGGGTCACCCATCCCAAGATTACTCCCGTGTAAGCACGCTTAACTTTGGAGTTCTTGGTGATGAGCTCCCTTAAAAGGAGATGCATCTTGTTGGTATGAGTAGTACTATTAATCCGCTTAAATTAATCTCGGGTATTACAATCACCCCCACTTAAGATCGCAACATCCTCATTGCGCCCTTAAACCAATCTCAATCAAACCCCATAATCTTGCCCCGCTAAGTGCTTGACTGATATCCAATAGATCAACACACTGTCGCAGGGTTGCTCTGATACCACATGTAACACCCCGACCCCATAGGACCCGAGCTAGTTACTCCAGACCTCTAGTATTGTCCTCACAAACCTCCACAAGCCTTTAACGTGTACTTTGTCCTCACTCGTGCGCGCCCTGAGAAACTTCTGAGGGGTCACCCATCCCAAGACTACTCCCGTGCAAGCACGCTTAACTTTGGAGTTCTTGGTGATGAGATCCCTTAAAAGGAGATGCATCTTGTTGGTATGAGTAGTACTATTAATCCGCTTAAATTAATCTCGGGTATTACAGTCTGAGATTGTAGCCTAATATAGGGTAAAACATGATCTTTGGCAATATCGTGGTAGCTTCACACCATTTATGCGTGCCTAATTTTTGGGATATCTGGGAAATGATATGTTGTATGCCGCATAGATTATCATCATAACCTCTAGGCTCTAATTTTACTTCAAAGTTGTGCACAAATATAAGCAGCATGCCCATTTTGTCTATGTTTCTGGTAAATAATTAAATTTCTATAGAAAATACATTTAACATATCGGTTGTCCTATCAAATTTTGCCTGCCGGAGACTCTGTTTATGCATCTTATGTATTTTTTATGGAGGCGATTGTAATCTGTATCCAGGCAACAGAATGCCTCATCGGATTTTGATTCAGAACTGGATTCTGTCTAAGAGAGGGGGTCGTTCTCTGGTTGCTCAAAGATGAGTGTCTTCCTTCTTCTGTGTTCATACTTCTCTCCTTCCTTCCCTTGTCTCTTGGACACTCTGGGGTGGGGGCAGTTGACTTTGAAATGCCCTAGCTATCTGCAGTTGTAGCAGAGAAGCTCTCTGGTGTTGTTATCAGAAGACTTGGTCTTCTGTTGAGGTCTTCTGCTTGAGGATGGACTTCTGCCATCCTTGGGCTTCATGAACTTTCTGAACTTCCTGGCAAAAGAAGACATATACTCTTCAGATAAAAGAACAGTAGGGTCAAAGTTACTTACCTTGGAGGTACTTGCTGTGAGGGCAGTAGTTTTGTCCTTAGGTTCTTCTTTCTTTTCTTCATTCATCTCGAACTCATAAGACTTGAGATGAGAGATGAACTTCTCAGTACTGTAGGTCCTGAGGTCCTTGTTGTCTCTCATGGCACTGACCTTCATCTTCTAGGGTGAAGGCAGATATCTTAGCACCTTCAAGTTGATCTCCTTGGGAGTCAGCTCCTTCCCAAGTTCTGATATTTCTGGTGTTAGGGTGAGTAGGCGTGCATACATCTCAGCTATGCACTCTTTGGGGAGAAGTTTGAAGTCCTCAAACTTCTTCATGGCAATTGTGAGCTTGTTCTCCTTCTCCTGCTCATCATCAGCTCCTATCAGGGCGAGTGTACCCCAAATATCCTTAGCAGAGGTGCACTTCTTGATCCTTGTGAAGTATTTGTCATTAATGGCCTTGTAGAGAATATCCTTGGCAATGTTGTCAAGGTTGTACTTCCTTCTTTCTTCATTTGACCACTCATGACGAAGTTTGGCGATCATCTGTGGTAGACCACCACCAATAGTGTACTCTGGGTTCATCTTTGTGAACTCAGTGAAAGGACCAACATCAAGGACTTCCCACATTTCATCATGGAGTGCGCAAAGATGGACTTTCATCTTGATCCTCCAGTCATCAAACTTAGTAACTGAGAATATGAGATTCTTGGAAAATGTGTTATCCATAATATGAGATTATAATAGAGGCTAAGAAAGAAGTGGATCTTTGTTCATCAATTAACCTAAAAGATTACCAGAACAAGGAGGTTCTGATACCACTTGTTGGTCCCGGTTATACAAGGTACAATCTAGAGGGGGGGGGGGGGGGGGGTGAATATACTGTACTGGTTTTTAACTTTTTCAAGCTAAGTACCAGAGTTAACAGAATAGCCTGTTCTGTTGAGAAACAGACTGGCAGCAGATGGTCTTCTGGTAGGGGTTCTGTCCGGTTAGCCTCAAAGAGATGCTAAGGTAGTAGGCCTTGTGTTAACTCATAAGACGAGTTCTGTTGAACACATAGACTAAGCCTTTAGGAGTTAATCAGTTGAAAGTAAATGCAAGTAATAAAAGCAGTAAGTAAATGACACAGAGGATTTTTATAGCGGTTCAAGGAACAACGCGTTCCTCTAATCCACTGTTCCACTAAGCTTGTAAAGTGACAGATACAACACCTTAGTCCTAGTACTTAAGAAGCTGTCCTCATCTTCTTCAAGTCCAGTTGTCACGTGGGATGCTCTTCCTAGCTTCCTGATGACTGGTCTCGTTTCACTGAGTCTCTTAGAAGTATCTCCACTTCACCACTCTAGTTACTTTGAGACGTCCCCTCTTTTGCAAGAATTGTTTGAATGAGTAACAGTTTCTCCAATGTTGCTTTGTTTCATAGGATGTTTAGTTGAGACTTTAGAAGTGTTGAAGAACTAGAGGAAGGATTCTCTCACATTGGAAAGAAAAGATATGGAGTTTATAATCTTTTCCAACGTAAAGACTATGTTGCTCTTGAAGAGTATGAAGTTGTGTTCTTTAGCTTTTGGATGTAAGAGCTTGAGAGAGTTTGAATCGTTGAATAATCGTTCTTCGTTCCTTAGGGTTCCAGTCCTTCGAAATGTATCTTATATACTGGGAGCGGTCTTCCCGTTGGAGTGTAGAAGACAACTTCATTTAATGCACGTACTGTTGATTTGACTGGTTGATCCAAGTAAAGTGGCCGCCTTATTATCTTAGGGCGTATTAAATATTATCCTCCTCGATCCTTGGTCAATCATCAGCTTTAAATATCTCAACGTGTGAAAGTCATTGAATGGGCATTAAATGCATGAATAGTAGAAATTTCCGTTGAGAGGCTCCTAGCCGTTAGTGAGATTTTCCGTTAGTTTAACCGGCTCAGGTAGCTTGATGGAAACTGTCTAAGTGTAGAGCAATTCTAAGAGAGTAGTTGACATCAGTTCTGTTGGACTCACGGTCTACCTTCTCTGGTGCATCTCTGGTCGAGACAGAAACCCTTGAGGTTCTCTGGTCTGTCGACTATGATAAAACTTGCACTTAGAAAAATTCTAATACAATATTTCTAATGGGGGTATTCTAAAGTCCAAATTAAGCTAGCATCATCAAAATCTAAATATAATTTATTCCTTACATCACTATTACAATGTAAAAATATTGAAACTCCCATTAACGGAGTTCTCAGCTGTCTAGAGAGGAGGAGGAAGTGGGGAAGAAGAGATCAACCCTTATCATGGAGGGAAGGCCTCCTATTTATAGAAATAGGGATGGGTGAAAGCCTACCCTAATAGGCCAATTGGGCCAAAACGGGCCCAAAGAGCTGAACCATGCCTAATAGACTGAAATGGGCCTCGTTATTCGGGCTCCGTACCGGGGCGATGCCTTAGATTTCTGAACAATAATAGATCAGGATAATATACCTTATTATACATCAACAATATGTTTTAATACTACGTATGTTTTTTGTAATCTTTTGTGTTTTTATGTTCATTTAGTTTTTTAGAGTTTTTACTCTGTACAAATACTCTGGGTTTTAATATTCTTCCATGAAAAATTTATAATTTCTTTCATACTTTTTAATAGTCAAAAACACATGCATGTCACAGTTTATATATTTTTCTATATTTTTCAAGCCTTTAGTTTTTTTAGCTATTTTAAATTTTATTAAATCTCTGATTCTGTTTTGTATTTTTTGACAGTTTTAAATATTTATAATATGTATGTTAAGCAATTTATAAAACTCATTACCAAAACATATAATTTGTACTTTTTAAAAACATTTCCCACATTTTCAAATATTTTAAGCTTTTGTATTTGTCTTTTGATTTATGTACTTTCAAAGTTTCTTTACATGTGTTTACACTTTTATGATTTTTTAAATTAAAATTTCTGTCATTTTTTAAAATTTAAGGTCACAAGTTTTCAATTTTGATTACTTTGTGCATTTTTGAAATTTTTTATTTTTGAGTATCATTTTTTTCTTTTCTTTTGAAAATTTAATTTTAGATTCTCATTGTTTCTCTAATTATTTTGATCTTTTTATTCTTTTTACAAATTCATTTTGCTATTTAAAAAAGAGTAATTCCTACATTATTAATTTACCAATGTGGGTTAACATAATTTCATTTTGCTAGAACTAGAATTATACCAAAGCCGATAGCTACTCTGTGAAAAAATAATGCTAGCTGCTGAATAGTTGATCGTGAAGGATTAAAGAAGTACGTGAAAGACACGGTCATATAGCTATTCGTGAAAAGAAAGTATGAGTAAGTATATTTTTGAAAAAAAAGATGGTAAGATGAAAAAGTGATATTATTTTCACTTTTTAATCTATTTGTGAAAAATTCCCTAATTTTGTTTATTATTTTAATTTTAATATTTTAGTATGGGCCTGTTGTAAAGCTCTAACCGGCGTTTAAAGCCCATCACCTTTTGCCCTAGCTTGCCTTTCGAACCGAACGCAACGCCCGTCTTCCAAATCAAAAGAAAAACGGGCTCTTTGGGAAGAGGAGTGCAGCCTGTAGAGCTCCGCGCACACTCATAAGTCATAATCTCCCTCTTCGAATCCTGGCCTCTGCGGCATCTTTACACAACCATCGCCGAATTGAGGACCTAGCCTCCAGTGGCCTAAGATGGTGCACGTCTCGTACTACCGGAACTGTAAGCCTTCCCATAATTCCAGTCTGTCTTGTTATCATCGTAATCTGTATGTGGTAACCGTTGTTGCATTCAAGTTTGGGGTAAATGCATGGTAGCAGTGAGAGGAGTTTTTCTAAAGTCGGAGATTGTAGCTGAATCTAGGTTAAAAACATGATCTTTGGGGATATCGTGGTAGCTTCACTCACTTTATGTTTTTCTTGGGGTATCCTGGAAATGCGATGTTGTGCAATGCATCTATTATTATAATCTCAAGTGTGAATTTTACTTTAGAGGTTCGCAAAACCTTAAACAGATTCATTCGTAGGTTCCTTTATTTATGTTTCTGGTAATTATTAATTAAGTCTCTATAGAAGACTACATGTTATCTATCGCTTGTACTTTTCAGTGTAGTCTGCGAGAGAATCATTTTATGCTACTTGTATCTTTTTCTTAAATGATAGTGTGATTGACGATGCTTATGTAAATGGTTGGATCCGGGAAAATAGGAGTTATTTTATGGTGTTTGATTTTAGGTCAGCGTTTTCTAAGGTAAACTAATCATGATTAACTTTTTCACATGATCTTTAACAAATGTTTGACAGTTTGAGTGCAGGTATAGAACATCAGTCTGAACTGGTACTGAATATAACCTTTTTAAATTCAGATGGATGTATTAATTTTAATTTTGTTTATTTGCTGCCTAATATCTCTTAGATTTTCCTGTATAAAATTTCCCCCAGATTTGCTTAGTTCCAACTAGCCAATTATATCTCTCTCTTATCTGCTAAACTCAATAAATATGTGTGTATGTTATCAATTGTAGATGGAAAGACATTCAAAAAGCCACGTCGCCCATATGAGAAGGAGCGTTTGGATTCTGAGTTGAAACTTGTGGGTGAGTATGGTCTCAGGTGCAAGCGGGAGCTGTGGAGAGTCCAGTATGCTTTGAGTCGTATCAGGAATAATGCACGAAAGCTTCTTACCCTCGATGAAAAGGATCCAAAGCGTATTTTTCAGGGTGATGCACTTCTGAAGAGGATGAATCAGTATGGGTTGCTGGACGAGAGCCAAAACAAGCTTGATTATGTGCTTGCCCTTACTGTTGAGAATTTCCTAGAGCGCCGTCTACAGACTTTGGTCTTCAAGGCTGGCATGGCCAAGTCAATCCATCATGCTAGAGTTCTCATTAGGCAGAAGCACATCCGGTAATATTTAATACTCCATATCTATGACGAAATTTATATTGTTCACTATACCATAATCGGTTTATTTGTACCCTTTTTAAATTTCCGATCTTCTTTTTGTGTTTGTACAAGTGTTGTTGGTCTCAATTTCGCTGAAGTTACCAAATGCTTAAGAGTGATACATGAAAAAGGACACAATGCTTGCCCTATATTTTATCCGGTTAAAGTAACTTTTATGCAGTCGGTTTTCCTACTTAATGGGTTGCATTAAGGTTGCCTAAGTTTTTCTATTTTCGTGCATGGATTATTACATTTTCACTGATTGACATGTTTTCTGTGGTTCAAAATCAAGGGCACAGAGTGATTAACATCATTTATTTCATTAGTTAGTGATCTCCAGTCTCTTTAACTCAATGGTTGATTACACTTTCATTGATTGGCATGTTTTGTGGTTCAGACTAAAGGGGGCACAGATATTCATATCGGTCACCACATCATTTATCATGTTTTGTTATTTCTCTTGTATATGTTGTTTGATATTAGTTTTTCATTTCAGAGTTGGAAGGCAGGTGGTCAATGTTCCATCCTTTATGGTCAGGGTGGACTCACAGAAACACATTGATTTCTCACTGTCTAGTCCCTTCGGTGGTGGTCGTCCAGGAAGAGTGAAGAGAAAGAACCAGAAGGCAGCTGTGAAGAAGGCTGCTGGTGGTGATGGAGACGAAGAAGATGAGGAATGAGCATATCTTAAATGAATTTAGAACCATGGAGCTTGCGGGCTTGGTTTTGCTTTTCTGTTTTATTTACCTCAGTTCGGATGTTATCTTCCACCTTTGATACCATTTTCTTAAAATGATTTTGGATACTGTTCTTTGTTTTGTTTTGTTTTGTTTTGTTTTGTTTTGTTTTGTTTTGCAGTACCTGCTTCCATGTCTGTCTATCTTAACCACAAAAAGTTATTACAAGTCTGGACTGTTTCTTGAACCAGAAACATCCAGAATGTTCCTGTCCGGGACTCCATTGTGCGCACATGCTTAAATGCTTTGGCTTCTAGGAATTAGGACTATTTTCTAGGACTGGATTGATAGGTTTGGGTATAACATAGCAGTATTTCTTAATTCTTTTCAAGCCCTTTCTGAATGTAAAAGATTTTTTAGGATTTGGACAAACCATCCCTAGGTTGAAACTTGAAAGGTTTTACAAAATAGCTGGTTAATAGATATTATAAGACCGATGAATGAGTGAAAGGGTAGTAATGTAGTATAGTTAATCAAAAGTTCAAAACTATTGTGGCTTTGATTTGTGAATAGTTAAGAAGTGGCTCCAAGTAGGCTTGGACTCGGGTCGGGCCACCCGACCCGTGGACCGGCCTGGCCCGCTACTGTGCGGGACCGGGACCGGCCCGGTTCTCGGGTCCGGGTCCGGGTCGGTCCTAGGCCCGGGGGTAGGGCGGGTCCGGGCTCGGGTCTCAATTTTGGATTCTTATTTTGAATTTCTATGGTGAAAATTATTACTTCTTCAATTCAAAAAATGAAGGACTATATATACGTTGCTTATATATCTTATTAGGGATAGGGATGGACTCGGGCTGGGCCAACCGTCCCGGAACCGGACCGGCCCGCTATTGTGTGGGCCTGGACTGGCCCGGTTAACCGGTTGGTGTCCGGTTCGGGCCACTCGGCCCGGTCTTCTAGCGGTTTGGTCCCGGACCTGCATTTTAGTGAACCGGTCCGTCCGGGCCGCAACGGTCATATTCTAATTTTTTTTTTTAAATACTTAAAGGCTCCATAGCCGTTGGGAGAGCTCCCAAACGGCTCTATAGCCGTTGGGAGAGCTCCCAAACGGCTCTATAGCCGTTGGGAGCATAGGAGGGGGGGGGGGGGGGGGGTCTGGGGGGTTAGGGGGGGGTGGGGGTGGGGTATACAAAAAAAACCTATTTATACTCCTATTTTCTATACATTTTTTTACACCTCTTCTTCTACAACTCTTCCTACTCTCTAAATTCTCTATTCTCTCAATCTCTCATATTCAATCATCTTCATTCTTCATCTTCTCCAAATTCTTTCTACATGTATATAATTTATATAATTATTATATCTACTTATATATTAATTATCTACTTATAAATATATACTTATACACATTCATATTATAATTCTTTACACATTATATTATATATACTATATATAGTTATACATTATATTATATATTACTTATAATATATTTACACATTATATATACTATATATACTTATACTCATTGATATAGACTTATACACATTCATACATTTTTTAAAAGTAGTTAATTGTTAGACATTTTTTAAAAGTAGTTAATTGTTAGACTTCTTGTTTATCTATTAAATTACCTAATTATTTCATTTGTCATATTAATATTAATTAAAGTAGTTAATTGTTTCATTTGTCATATTAATATTAGTTAAAGTAGTTAATTGTTTCATTTGTCATATTAATATTAGTTAAAGTAGTTAAAGTTAATTGTTTCATTTGTCATATTAATATTAGTTAAAGTAGTTAAAGTTAATTGTTTCATTTGTCATATTAATATTAGTTAAACTACTTAATTGTTACATTTCTCATATTAATATTAATTAATTGCTACATTGCTCATTAAAGTTAAAAAAAGTAGTTAATTTATACATTTCTCATATTAGTTAATTGCTACATTTCTCAATAAAGTAAAAAAAGTAGTTAATTTTTACATTTCTCATATTAGTTAATTGCTACATTTCTCATTAAAGTAAAAAAAAGTAGTTAATTTTTACATTTTTCATATTAGTTTATTGCTCATTAAAGTAAAAAAAAAGTAGTTAATTTTTACATTTCTCATATTAGTTAATTGCTACATTGCTCATTAAAGTAAGTCCTAATTTAGGGAGAACTACCAAATAAACCCTCGAACTTTCATAAAAAGTGCAAATAAGCCCTTTTATAGGAGGCTCTGTCAGGACATCACCATTTGGGGCGGTTTCCGGTGAAATTGTTTGATGAAATTTTTTGAGCATCGTCTTCATTAAGTCTAGTTACTCATACCAAATTTCAGCTAAATATTCAATCTGGAAAGCAATCAAATAAATTTTTGAAGATAACTCCGCAGTTAGGCAGCGCAATATATTTCAGAAAATCATTTGACTGCATTATAGATTGAATTTTTAGCTGAAATTTGGTATGGGTAAACTGGACTTAATGAAGAAGATTCTCAAAAAGTTTCATAAAAAAATTTCTCCGGAAACTGCCCCAAATGGCAACAGCCGGACAAAACCTCCTGTAAGAGGTCTTATATGCACTTTTTACGAAAGTTCGAGGGCTTATTTGATAGTTCTCCCTGTCTTATTACTAGATCATTTAATTTAGGTCAATGAACATTTGGAGTAATTCTTGAGTACTTGATACAGTATTTATCAAAATTGCTTTCTATCATGAACGTTTCTTAAAGTAACAATATAATCCCTCACAAAAATATGACCACCGACAATCCCGTTATAAAGTTTGAGAGTGTTTGGTGATTGCATATTAAATTTTTGTTTGCAAAATCATTCCAAGCAAAGTTTAGATCAACACTCCATCTTGAAGTGTTAAGTCCTTCTTGCATATAAATCCTAGTCACTTGTTCACTCCATGGTGAATGCTAAAGAGGGGGATGAATTCATCAACATTTCATCCTCTTCCTCCAAGACCAAACGATCACACGCCAAATAAGAAGCCGCCACCCTTGACGCCACAAATGAAGCGGTCGTCGTTGCAGGCATCATCACTGCTGCATTTGTTACTCCAAGCACAAGGAAGACTGTTATGAAGATCTTAACCTGGTCAATGTTGCATTTCGGTATCAATCTAGGCTGTAAAGCCAAAAAAACAAGCTGCCCCATCCCAATGCCAAGATGTAGGGCGGTGATACAACCAATACCCTAGGTGACCAACGCTTCTCAAGCCGTTGTACCCCCTCACTATTTCTTATACGATTAATAAAACATTATCTATTTTTTTTACGAAAAAGTACATTTTATAAACCTTATCTTGGTCCAAAAGGTGGAATCTCCCACCCCAGGAGCCCCCATACCCCGACCCGACAAGATTTTTGGGAGGATGTTAATCACGGTGACTCAGTCGGCCCAATGATGGTAGGCCTTTTTCCCGTGCGCACCAGAGGCCCAGCCTTATTTCAGGTTCTGTGACCTCCACACGACCGCTGCGGGTTTCGAACCTTGGTCACTTGGTCCAAATTTCCCACCACGGAACCAACTGAGCTACCCGTGCGGGTGAATTTATAAACCTTATCTAATATATGTTTATGCATTCATATATAAATATTATAACTATTTATACGTTCATATATAATATTAGATTATTCTACTTAAAACACATACATTTTAATTTTATTGTATATAGCTTTTGTTTATATTAATTAATTATAATTAAAAAAACTCGAAATTGAGACCAAATCGAGCAGTCTACCCGACCCGGTTCAGAATCGGTATAGTTCGGGCTGGTCATGGGTGCGATTTATATTTACTAGAGACTTGCCGGTCTCTAGTCAAACACCTATACTTATGTGTTAAATGGCTAATCTATCACACTATAAAATGTAAAAAATGTGTATCCCCTACTTTTATTAATCCTCAATCTCCCAGTCATGCCTAAGAAGGAAATTGTTGAAGCAATAAACCAAACTCACGGTGCCATATCTTGGCACAACGAGCTGGAAGATGTCTGGATTATTGTTCGAATAAAAGACTATTGTCTGGAGCTAAACTTTAAAGTGTTAAACTTGAATTACAAGCTGAATGGAATAAACCCGTTCGGTAAAAAGAGCTGAAAAGATGTCCGAAAAATATAAAATTACATTAAAGGACATATTTATTAATAGAATAAAGTATTGTTATAATGATTTTTTATTTTAATAAATATTAAGATTTTAGAATAAATATATATGGAATATTATATACTACGTACTACGTATATAATTGAGAAAATTCCTTATATAGGACTAAAACATGAACAAAGTGTATAGGACTATCATTGTGTTCTTTCTAAACTAGGACCTATTCACTCTTAATAGGGGAAGTTTTATACTTTTAATAGAATTAAATAAGTCCTATTTCAGTAATAAAATACATGTAGTCCTATTTGTGCATTTTGTCCAAGTTTTAGTCCCATTTAAAACAATTTCTATATATAATTCTTGTGCATTGCGTGTACAAGACTAGCAGATGCCGCCCACAAGACAGTAATGGTTACCCTTGCAAATAATTAAGGTCTGGGATTAGCTTCCCGCACGAACCAATGTTATATCCTCAAGAAATGACCTCAAAGATCCCAAATCCTTAAGAACCAACATCCAAATGCATTTCTCCTCCTGCAAAAAAATATGCATTTCTCCAAATGAACCCTTCTTGGCCTTTTCTCAATTGGTTGGCAAAGCAATACATCGCAAAAGCAAGACACCCTAGAAGCACAAAAAATGGAAATTTTGGGTATAAGATGAGATAAATTGATAAGCTCAGGAGCTTACCATGTTGGAATAAATCCGATAATACTTTAATCTTCATATTGAAATTATCTGGAGAATTGACTAAGCGGAAGCGTACCTGACTCCATGGGAGATCACCTTTGGAGATCCGGGAGACGGAGGCTAGGGTTTGCGTCTTCTAGCTGATACACGCCCTCGGGAATTATCTCTCTAGCGATGGGATGCAGAAAGACGGAATGACGTGTACAACTAGGGACCATAACCCCTTATTTATAGAGTGCTTAACCCTAATCAGCCCATCATTGATTAGGTCAAGCCCATGGGTCTCTACACATTTGGGCCCTATACCTTATTAGATAACTTATTAGCCCACTTAAATTAATATCCATAGGACCACTAATTTTTGGGCCTAAATATAAGATAGCATATAACATACAATTAAACCCGATAAATAATATATTGTGAATATTACATGCAATATAAGTCCAATAATCTAACAATCTCCCACTTGGACGACATACACATGTATACACAATCCTCAGAATTGTATGTTTACTTTAGGAGCTCCAAAATTTTGCTATCAAACTGTAGTCATCTTTAATCAATCCGGTCCATTAATTATATCAACATAGGATCAAAGAAGTCTTTGCTATATTTGAATAACTAGACCCATCAATGATCACATATATTAATATAATAAACGACATGGATCAAGTATAGGTGTGTAGCGTGGAAATAACATA